CCTAGTTCTTCTAGATAATGTTTTCAATTTTAAACAGATTAATATATATGTCTGGCTACTACAGGAACTTGTTACAAGTGTGTCACTGAATGTTACCTGCAGTTAAATCTCCAAGAGTTGAAAAGGTTTAAATATTCTTTTGTGTTTGTTTTATACACTGGAAATGGATTTGAAGCCAGTATTATGTCTGAGTTCCTTTTTGTCAAAGGGGGTTCAGAATCTAAACCCATTTTATGTGCTAATCTTAAATCTACTTTCAACCCAAACTGAAGAAGATAAACCAGGCTTAAATACAAAAGCTTGGGGTTTATTTGGTTCATTATCTTCTTGCAACAGGCCAATTACATGTCATTCAGTAGGGGTGAGGAAAAGAAAGCTTAGTAAAATACCATGAATTCCATTGATTTCTTGGAGGAGAATTGGGAATTTAATAGTTTAATTAAGAATAATAGCCAAAAAAATTAAAATAAATAAAAAACATTTTTTTAAATCTAAAATAATCTGTGGAAAGATATTCATGTTAGTAGACCTCAAATAAATTCAATACATGCTTTGAAATTTAAGTAGGTCTAATATGCTTTAAGCTGCTCACAAATTGATGATCTGTAATGACAACTTTAAAGAACGTGGCAAACTTGGGTTTTCAGTAGTTTACAATGTTTGGAGACTTCCTGCACTTCTGTACTGCACACTGCAATATTGCCCTGTCTCTCAAAAAAATACCGTGGGTTGTGGTTGGTATTTTTGTTTATCTTATTTTACACAATTGTCTGAACTCGGATTCTAGTATCAGTGGTAGCATCTAAACTGAAGAGCCTTGGCCTTCTTAAACTTGAGCTCTTCCACAGGGCTTTCAAGGATTAGCGCAGTTTCCAAAGAGTATGGAGAGAGTCCAGGTGAGAATCCTCACCAGAGAGTATATCTGCTGTGTATAGTCTGCATAAACTTCCTTGTCCTGTGAACCACAAGTCTCACTATCTCATGCCAATGTTTTGTACTAGCATGCTGTATGAAAACATTTTAACCCCGTAAGATGTAGTTCTCCAAAACAATTTATCCTTTGTTGGGTCATGCTACAGTTCTGTGGCACTTTTCAGAAATGATTGATGGTAAATGACTCAACTTTAAGAGAATTTCAACAGGCTTTTGTATTTGCAATGTGTCGTTCTCCTGTTATGACAAAGAGTTCTAGTGTGTAGCTGAAACTGAAAATGGGGAGTTGTCATTCCTTGATGTAATTTTAAGTAGCTGTTAAACCAACTACCGCAAAAAGCCTTGAAGTTCTTGCATTTGTTTCAAGCAGGATACTTGCCTGCAAAGAAGGAAGACAAATGGAAGAGAGTCAGTCAATAGTTTACTGGTAACCTGGTTAATAAGCAAGCACTAATGAACCATAGCCGGTACATTTTAGCAGGCTTTATATATCCCTCCTCCTGAAGTGTTCTCCTTGCATCTTGGTAATGTGTGGACTGATGGCTATTCTTCCCTAGGCAGAATGTCACAAGAAGACTTTAGTCCTCCCCAGTTCTGACAAGGAGGTGTTATATCTGATGGATGTGTCATCTTGTGCGCATGTAGGCTCCCTGGAGCTGCATGCATGCCTTTACAATAACAATTGGCTTACCTTCTCATTTTGATTTAGTCTGCAACTTTGTTATCTTAGAGTACATTCTAACCACAGTATTGCCATTTCTGTATATTTCCTGCTCTACTAACCTCTGGCTAAATTGTTAGATCACGTGGTGTACATAGTGTTGGAGAAGTTTTTACCGCATACATAATCTTATTCACTTACACAATGCATGCATCCTCATAGATGCACACCCTGGCCATATATCTTGGTGTCTAAGCCAAGGCATTTTAACTGGATTATGGTCCTGATGTCTTGGGGTTTTGGCCAAAGATTTTCATCTAAGTGAAGGGGCCCTCAGGCAATTGGTTCCTGAGCTACACAGTACATTGGTGTTCTTTTTACTGTAAACGTTTTGTGGGGCATGAGTTTAGCAAGTCAGGTCTGTTTTGAAGACTTATACTCTTAACATGCTTTGAGATCCTTAGGTGAAGCAATATAGTGGATTGATAACATTTCTGTAGTTTGAATGTATCTTTGCATTGCTCTTCATGTAAGGAAAAAGACAAGACCAGTGAATATAGCTTCATCTGTATTTATGTATCTGAGCTGGTGAAACTTCATTTGAAAACATTTCACTTCACATCAAACAGAGAAAGATCCATTTGCAGCTGCTTTAGTATTCATTCAGTCACTTTTGCAAAACTTAATTATGTGCTTTCTGAAATGGAAGTAAGTGGCAATTTTCTTAATGCAGTTAGCACCGTACATACTTAATATTATAATAATACTGGTTTGTGCTCTTCTCATGCCTCTCTCAAACTATTGTTTAACATTCAAAAATATCTTCTAGCATTTGCTGGAATGAAAAAGGTGTCCAAATACAAATATGTGTATAGGTGTTAGAAGATGCAGTTTCTGAATGCAGCTATTTTGACCTATAATTACTTGCAAGAATCTTTCAATGACTCTAAATGGAGAATGAAATTCAACTCCATCTACATATCATTACAAGGTAAGGGTAAGTTTATAAAGCATTAAGTGAGGTGCTAATCAACTCTTCTAAAACTGAAGAGGAATTAAATGATTGAAATCCCATGGGAGGTATTTTCAGGCCTAATCAGGCAGTTTAATGGAGTTGTGCACATTGTGCCAAATGTATCCTTTTAGCAGCTGAATTAAGTGGTTTTGCTTTTGACCAGCAATTATTTAAAGAATAAAGAATTACTAAGAAGACCTGCTCAATTCTTGGACTGTGTTAATGAGTTAGTAAGTACTGTAGAATTGTGGTGAGGCTGCATGAAGTACTGGGGCTTGCACTGCTCATTGAAGGATCAATATACAAAAATCAAACTTTATTCAAAGACTCTAATATTTCATTAGAGAATCCTGCTCCACTGTGGACTATGGAAGCATGCCATAGAAGCACTAAATTAAATTAGCCAAGCATCAGGGTAAAATATCATCTAAAAATGTCATGCTAAGAGAAAGTGAGTTAGTATCAATGCATCAAATTAATTGAGTAAGCTGAATTATTCTTAAAATACCATCAGAGCCTTACAATCTCTCAGCAATAATTCTGAAACTTGCTAATCAGTGTTCTGTCAATCTTGATGCCAAATGGTACATATAGGTTCCACTCAAGTAGACCAGAACACTTTTACTAAAAGGTGATCTTTGAGAAACCTGTTCTAATGCCAGGACTAATTGGAATAATACCAATAAATTCATCCACACTATTGGGGGTCAGTTTTCTCTCAACTTCTGCACTTACAATGAGTCTAGAATGACTCCACCTCTTCCTAAAGCAGTGTTTAATAACTGAGGAAGACCACAAGAGTTTGCTGGCTGTTAGCTTTTTTTGTATCAGCAGGGACTTTGGTAACATATAAGCTGTTCTTGTTGCATGAATAAATTTTCTGTGTGTGCCATCTACTGGACCCTGCTCAGAGTGCAATGTTAACTCAGTTGTATTTGTACCTAAATAACCTTATCTGAAACTAAAGAGATTATTGCAAAAGTGAACAGCATACCATCTCACTTTATGAAAGCAGTAGGGTTTTGTAAGTGACCGTAATTTACAATATATAAAGATGACAATTCTGGATTATGTTTTTAATGCATTGATGCATTTGAATAGAATTATTACTGCAGTAGTACAGATCTGTAGAATTGAGTGCTTGTCTATGTCATAAAATTAAAGATCTGTGTTTGAAAACATTGAACTTGTAACAGTATGCAAACCCAGAGCTTTCATAAATAGATATTGTAAGTTTAAGGCTCGCAATCATAGTAGATAGGTAATGTTGTTTTGAGCCTTAACAGTTTTAACCTCGCAAGTCCTGGTAACTGCCCCTTTAAAATGAGTATGACAGCAACAAATTCCAGTTTTAGAGAAGGATTTTATTTCACAATAGATCAGAGCAGAGTTGGCCCAACATACCAACTCTTCGTCCATCAGAGATAAATTCCTTGCTACTGTGAAATTTCAATTGGAATTTTGAAGTTAAGAATTTAATTTAATGGGATATTAACAGAGGCTATAACAGTGGATTGTGTTGGAGAATGCGGAAAGTAAACTAATAAAATGACAATTATTTATTAATGTTTATAAACTAGTAATAGAGGAAAATGTCTTCACTGGGTGAATATCACTATTGGTTACCATCTGACAAATGTATCCATCTCCTGCTGCTATGTCAGAGTTCCTGTGGGGTTTATTTTGATTGGTTTTGGTTTTGTTGGGGTTTTCGTTATTGTTTTTTTTTTTTTCGTGGTGGGGAGGGGGTTGTTTGGATTGTGGGTGGTTTTTTTTTTTTGTGTGCCATTTACTACCTTCCAGTTTTGTCACTTGGCCAAATACCATTACTCTGTAAGCTTTCATTTGAAAGTGAAATGAATTAGTTCTACAAATGCGGATTGAACGGGTCGTGCCATCATGATATGAGTAGAAAGAGATGAAATTTACTTTGAACTATGTAGTCAGTTTATGTCTTTGCTTGGTTTTATCTTTTCATTACTTCAGATACCTTTTTCTTTTCTTTTCTTTTTTTTCTTTTTTTTTTTTCCCAAATAGCTGAGCCCTTTGTGTCATCAAGCCAAGCTTTTTTGTTACATCCACAAATCCCTCTTGTTTTAAGAATCACCAAAACTTCCTTCTTCCCTTTTTTTTAAAGCTTCAATAAAATGCATTCCTAGGCAAACAGTCTTGTGTGAACTTAAATTACTTCTACTTCTGCTTTCCTACTACTATTAAAAATCCACAATACAGTGTCCCCCGACAGAAGTAGTAAATTTGATTTTAGAGTATCCCAGGTTTCATCCTTGTATCTAATACTTCAATAATCAGTTCACACACGCATACACATGCATTTAAGTACTTTTTTGTGATTCTTAGGTTTGGAAGACACAGTGAAACATGGTTTAAAACTTGGTTTTGTGAATACAACTTTTATTTGGTAATTAGATTATTTTCGAACAACATCCGTGCTTATGAGCTGTGAGCAGCCCATAATCACAGTGATGTATAAAACATAGTCATCAGGTTTGGTCCATGTCGATGCATTGAATTTAATGGAATAGTCACTTACTGACAGTAGACTTGATGTAGTTTTAAAAGTCACTTAAATTTTTACAGTACCTGGTAATAATCAGAGCTCTGTTTTGTGCAATGGCATATATACATTGGAAAGATTTAAACTGTTTATATCCACATGGCAAGCTTTGACACAGTGCTTCACCAGTTGCAGTTCTCAAACATATGTCAAGTATGTGAGGAGTGGAAATGGACCTTATTGTGCAAACATTCATGCAAACAGACCACTGTGTAACAGGCCTAATACAGATATGGAGAACAGAGCTCAGATTAGCTAATGGCTCAAATTAGCTAACAGCTCGGATTAACAGGTCTATTGTCCAAATGTGGACAAAATTAAGTACTGTAGAAATCTGAGGACCAGAAACACTATGTGCAAAGCATATCAGAAAGAATATACTTAAAATACAATGGGAAATAATTCAGCAGGCTTGCTTACAAAAAATAAAAAATTATACTGCTTTTTTTCTTTCATAGAATAATTATGGTAATCATGTTTCTGAAATTCCAGCCTACAAATTCAACGCTATATAATACATTAAAGGAATCAGAGCAGCATGCATGTTCCATATATCTACATGATTTTGTATAATTATTTCAAAATTTGAATGATAAAAGTAATTTATTAATTCCAACCTTGTGAAAAAACTTACTCAGCGAGAGACCTATAATTATGAGACAGAAAATCAGAGAGTAAATTATCACTATGAAGATGCTTTTCTGTGTGAAATAAGCAAAGATATGTACTGTGTATGAAAGAGTAGTTTATTCCCCCCAGAAAAAGACCCTTCAGTGTAGCTCTTCTTGGAGTTCTTGTACAAATGAGAAGTGCTTTTCCAGTGAAGTGCCCTTTTTGGTGTTTTATGATACAGAATGAATAAGAATGAGATTTAACTTTTTTTTTTTTTTTTTGGGAGGGTGTGTGTGGGGAGAGGTTCTGTTTGGGCTTTTTTTGTGTTAGTTTGTTTTTCCTTCTCCCAACAGCTCTAACAATTTTCTAGTTTAAAGGTTATGGAGATGGTAGAAGTAGAAGTTACATTAGGGTTTTATACCACTGTGTCACTGATGTGAGGTGGGAATTTTCTGCGTTTAACCAGAGGAGGTGGAGATGGGTGTTGCCCCTGGCTCCTGTGTAATACTAGTGGTAATTTTATATATCCATTATCTTATTCTCAGATGGTCTTTACCAGGATGTTTACAGATCTTCTCTAGCATACTCTATAGCACAATGTTGGCTTTTAAAAACAGTTATCTCAACTATTGTTTTTACCTAGTGCTCTGAAAATTATTATCCTCAGTAAAATCTGTCTGACACTGTAAGTCTTTGGTATCAAGCAGAATGGTATGACAGCAAAACACAGTAAAGAAAAACGTTTGAGTGACTTCGTATACAAACAGTTTTTGTAACTTAGATATGTCCTAAATATTTTAAACTGTTTCTTAGTCTTAAATTCAACTTTGATATTATTCATACAGATGTTTTCAAAAATAGATACTTAGAGCTTTTGCAATAGTCAAATACTACTAGGTCCAGCTTCGGGGAGGTGAGGGAGAGGGGGACATGTGTAGTCCTGGAATTAAACATGTGTCAGGCTTGTTCTTTTGTTGACCCCCAAACCTTTTAACTTGCACTGTTTGAAAAGCAAAGCATAACATCATCTGAACTTGGTTTTAAAAAGTAGCCAGGAATCCTGCATATATTACTGCATCACCTACCAACAGGATTATTTTATTACTTTGAAGCTGTGGCCAGAACCTGGTTCTGCTGTGCAGGCAGAACAAGTTGTCAGTGGAAATTGTAGCTATTTAGGGGCAACAAAATGTTTTACTCTATATCTTTGCCTGGAAATGGTGTGTATTTCTTTGTTGCTATGACTGAGAAAGCCCTGTAACTTTACTGCTGATCCATTTTAGTCACCCTGGTTCTTGTTTGTGTTTCTTCTTGGTGTGAAAACCATCTCCAGCAGCGGTTGCCTTTCTATTGGGTGCATGGATAAGTCATTGTTTTTCTGGATGTTGTTAAGGCCTCTTCCTTTCATTGTCTGTACTCTGCAGCGTCTCAGAAGAGTCACCAGAATTGCTTTCATCATTACCATAGCAATAAACTTTCCTACACAGCCCCGAGGGCCAAATCCAAAGGGTTGGAAATAGCGTGAAGGAACCTGCACAGAATAACATGAGGAATAAACTTAAAGATGACTTTTTCTTCATAAAACTTGTGAAAATTATGATTGAAATTTGTAGTAGAAGAATTCTGAAAAACTTGTGGAAAGAATCTCTTAAGAGCAATTACTGCTTTCCTTTACAATGAACAACCCCTTCCACCCAGGTCAGATGAAAATAGAGACACACCTAGGAAAAGCATACCATTTGAAGTGCTAAGATAGCAGTGACTGTAGGGTTAAGCAGTTGAATTCTCCCTGTGCGTTTCAGTCTGTTCGTCCTGTGAACTACAGGGATTTTTTCCACAAGCTGTGAAATAGAGTGAAGCTTTTTGCTCTTCAACCCATATTAAAGTTCATTAAAAACATTTTTCTCAGAAAATGTTTATTACAAAGCTCGTAAATATCTGAGAAACAGGCTGATGCCTTGTCTAAAGAGAATGATAAAGCCCTGAACCTACTATAATTGTCACTGAAAAGCTAGTGTTCCTGAGAATTAATTTGTCATAAAATGTAATAGTAAAAATTTTATTTGATACCTAGCAGTGAGATAACACAAAATTATCTCCTGTCCTATCAGCTAAAATGTGAAATGCAGGGCTCCCAGAACTGTTGAAGAATGCACAGCCAGTTTCCTACTTCTGTTGACACTGAGTAGATCAGTTATCCAAAGCAGCCAACAGCATGAATAGTACTTACGGTTAATGATTTGCAAAGATAATTGTTCTAAGTAAGAAAAAGCAAGTCTGGCTATAAATAAATTCCTTTCTTCATCTGTGTAGTTTTCTTTTAAAAAGTAAGATATTGGCTGTCTTCTGACTTCCTATTTAACCTAATAATAGCGTAGAAAATTTTGCTTTATATTAAATTGTCTATGAAAGTGTCCTTTTCTTCTCATTTTCAGACTGAAAAGTGTTCTCCCTTTAAAGTTTTTCAAATAAACTGGGCTGTACTTTAAAAAAAAATGATAGGTAAATGCAAGTGTTTATAATACAGAGCAAGTACAGCAGCTGGCAGTACAGCACAATGGCAAATGCACAGCCTGGGAAAATGGAAAAATGTTTGGATTCCAACAATGCCCATCTTATCATAAATAATGGTGTGGGTTGTTATTCACTTAGAAAACCGTGTGAAAATTGTGCCTGCTAGAATAATTATGTGGCAAACAGAATGCATCAAGTCAGATAGAAAATGTGTGGTTAAACATTTGGTCAAGGGCAAATATTTTTAGAAGCAAAATGTACTTGTAAAATGAGCAGGAAATCCATTTTGAAAGAAATACTTACAACGATAATAATGGGTAGCAAAATGGAAACAGTTCCCAGACAGTAGTTATTTCAATGAACTTAATCACTCTTTTCTTGAATTTTCTACTATGACTTTGTTCTTGATCTGTTGTTTTCAGTACTGAGTGCAGTGTTTGCTATGGGTAATCAAACAGGAGTTTAGAAAAGTTAACCGGGTTGTTTAGTGCTCATTTCTGTGTGTGGCATACATGGTACTCCAAGATGTTTGATAGGGTTGCACATAGGTAAAAAAATTCACATATTGCTTTTGATATTGGACTCGGTAATGTAGACTAAAGAAAATTCTCATTCTTTGGGGACTTAGAATATAACTTAAATGGGAATGCTGAGCTAAACTGGGACAGAGTTACTCAACATCTGCACTGCTGAGCTGGTTCAAATTTAGGATTTTAATTTTGGTCTATATATGTATTTTGATTTAGAATTTTTAAAAAAATAGGTGCTAGATTCTCACTCTCTCAAGAATTACTATACTGCTTCATCTCTCCAGAGAATCCTCGCATGGCCTCAGTGTTTCGTGCTACTTGCATGGCTGTAGCTCCTGAAAGACTCTTTATTTTGTCTAGTGTTAGGGGATGTAATGGAAACTATGTGCGTCTTTGACAATTTTAATCAGAAATTTAAATTAAGATGTTTGGGAAAACTTTGGTTTTGATTTCATAATTATTTTTTAATTAAAAGGCACTTTGATAGGAAAATATCTGCCCAGCTTCAATAATAATGATGTACAGCTAACTGGGCACTTAGATGAAGGGAAAGCAGTCTTACGGTCACAAAGTTCCTGATCAAAATGAGAAGAAGAGACATTATCAATAAATAATACCCAATTTTCTATGAGAAATAAGATAAACTTACATTTTTCTCAAAATTTTCAAGAGAAAACTCATTTGGCTTTGGGAAGAATTCAAGCTTATGCATACGTCCAATATTGAGAATAATGTTTGTCCCCTTTTTCACAGGATAGCCATCAATTACATCATCTTGTAAAGCTTTTCGCATGATCAAGTCCACAACTGGCTGGTACCTCATGCTCTCATAAATGAAATTCTCCACAACTTTTAAGTTCGGCATGTCATCACTCTGTATGTCTCTGTCACCTTGTGGAAGAACGCAGGTGGTAAAGATTTTGGTTAGGAATTTAATAGCTTCATTGTACAACTACAAAACATTTTTGGAAGGTTCTCAGGTCCTGAACTGCAGGAAGGATCCAACAGCTTCTAATAAGTTTTATGTAGTCTCACATGTTTTGGAAATCTGGTATATTGTTCATCAGTGTAAACCCTAGTTCATCAATTTATTATCTTCTCACCTTCTTAAGATCAGTCTTTGTTTTGCTTTCTTGTCAGTGACAAAAGTCCTTCCCTGACTTGTATGGCTGAGAACAAGACACAACAAAGAAAACTTCTGAGAGCTGACAGCAAACAGAATCTGGGAATACTCTGCAGATAGGAGAGAACTTTATGGGGACCTGAGATTTTCACCATGTGGTTGAGTTTGGCTGGATGTACAGCAAGGTCCTACTGTGGACTGACTATTTCAGTTACCCTGAGTAACTTCCTCCCAGCTTGATACCATCAGCAGCAGTGTCAGTGCCACAGTGGACTGCTAGTGGGAGCCTTACTTTAAGTTTCAAGCCACAGGCAGTTAAAGAACTACAGGGAAGTTTATCTACAGCAGTAGATTTCCAGCATACAAGGCAGCTTTACTACCTCAGTTTTGTTTCTTTTTTTTCTTAAGAAAAAAGCAACAATATGCTACTGCCTTAGAAATCAAAACTATCAAAAGGAAATAGGAAAGATGAGTACTTAACTCTCACAAGGACAATAAAATAAGGCTTATTAAAAGAACCTTGTAAAAAGAGTCAAGGAGTTACACATTTTTCAGTGTTTGACCAGAAGTAAATCTTAAGTAAGAATGGCTGAAATTAGATTCTATATTACTTCAGTGCAGGCTTTGAATGAAGTCTAGAGAAGGGGAAGAATGAAAATTTGGAGTACCTTGTGTTTTGAATAGTTAATAATCAGTACTTGGAAGAGACCAGTTTGCTATACAAATGGATGACAACAGAATATAGTTTTAATTTTCTGTAATCTTTCCCTTCTGCAGTCATAGTGAAATATTAGGTAGGTTCTGGACATACACAGAGAAATATTGGTGAAGTACTTGAAATTAGTGTCCCCTTTTGCTATTTCAAAGTAAATAGAAAATTTCAATTAAACCTACTGGGCTGAAACTTATGAGCACTGATTTTCTGTGCTGTCGCTGAGGATTAAATATAGCACATTCTTTCTAATAGATTGTCAGTTCTGATGATTCCTATTTGAAATTATCTTGTGAATTACTCATTTCCTTTCCTTTGACCTTGAATAAAATCTATTGCATAAAATGGTAATGCATGTATTTTACAGCAAATGCTTCTAAGAAAGCAGAATTCTCAGCCTTTGAATACTCAATATCTGATCACTCCTGAAGCAAAATTATATTCCCACATCACCGACTTTGCATCTCCTGCTTACCCATAACAGTTTCAATTTCTCTCATCATCTCCTCTTCCACTGTGGGGTGCTCTGCAATCAGTATTAGCATAAAGAAGAGAGTCACCGATAGAGTATCAGGAGCAGCAATCATCATCTCCAGCACACACTGGTTCACGTTCTCGGCGGTCAGATCCCCTCTGTTCTGAAAAAAAATTTGACATTTTGGAGAAAGCATGGATTGCTGACCTCTGATGCCAACAAAGGTCCCACAGCAATAGAATGGGAAGCGTCTAGAGTATCTGTTTTAAGCAAAAGTAAAAATCCTTACGGTCTTTCTATCTCACATTCATTTATTTTTCTTTTGGAGAAAAACAGAAACCTCATGTTTTGATGGGTGTGTATTATCTTACTGAAAACAAGAGTTTGCTTTTAGCTTGTATTCTTACTGATTTCTTGCCTTTCCTCACAGAGTTGGTGAGCTGTCAGAGATTATGCAAGATAGAATTTACATAACATTTAGAGCCTTTGCAACAAAATGCAATAGATCAAGATAAACTACAAGGTTTAGGGAAAGAGTGGAGGACATTCAGGGGCAGATGCATGAGTTTTTAAGGATGTTGTTTAAGCCATTAAAAAAAAAAGAAAATATCAGAAAAGCACCTCTTCCCAAAAATGCAAGTATTCAATGTTTGAATCACTGTTAGGGACTCTACAGAACCAGGTAATTTCTATATCCCTCTCTGAAGACATGACTTCAGATAGATATATAAAGTTTAAGTGGCAGTCTGTGTTGTTATTGCCAGGAATGTCAGAAAAATGAAAGTTAACCATATTTTGAGTACATTGCCAATACCTGTGCAAATATCAACTGGGATGCAAAATCCATGTGTTCATCCAGCTTTTCAACAGTGGAAAGCATTTGTCGTTTCTGTTCTATTAAGATTTCCATTGCTCCTTTCAGATCCTTGCTGAAAACAGATGAAATCCAACATATTGATAAATATTTGCAGACTTCTAGCGTGCACTAGGGTATGACCAGAAGCATAGAGACTATACCAAGGAAAATATCTAAGGACAGCAGAAATTAAATATTCTGAAGAGTTGCTGTTCGTCTCTCTGCAAACAGAATAATACTAAGGGAAGGTGTATTTTCTTCTTTCTTATTAAATAATTGCTTACTGGTTTGGGCTAAAATCTTTTTATAGAATAGGCTGAAAAGGACGAAAATATGTCTGTATATGCTACTGATGGAGTTTTTAAAGATTTATAAACATTTCCAAAGAATTTGTTTATTTCCTTCTCTTTTATACTCTAGTTTATAAGCTAATAAAATGAACTTGGAGAACAGGAGGAATAATTGTTAGAAAAATTGGACTATCTTGAAAGTAGGGTTGATCCAAATTTTTCATATTTAAATAATACCGTGTCAACAGTTTGTATTTCAGAGGTGAAAACAAAGCAATGTCCAGCAGTTTTTTGTATTTGGGATTTTCAATTAGCAATAGATGTGTAAGCAATGCTTTTTAAAAAGTATTTTGAAAAGTTTTTGAATTAAATCCTCAGGCCTTCCCTTTGTGCTTGTTATTGTTGGGATAGAAAAATTTACTGGCTTTCAAGGGGTAAATAAAGTTAAAACCTTAAACCTGGTAAAGTTGTTATTATTTCTAACATCTTCTAGGTATTAGAAATAGCAAGTGGTTCTTTTTTGCAAACTTTATCAGAAGAATGTCAGAAGTCATCATGTCCTGAGGTAATTTTTTGCATTGTGTTAAGTCTAGTGATCTTTATAATTTTTATGCAATAGAAATTTATCAATAAGCCCATTTTAATGGGATTGCTTTTGAAACATCAATATTTGCCTGCAGGGGCTTCTAGTAATAACTGGGCCACCACAGTTAGCTATTATTAGAATCACAGGGTAAAGCACTATCAGTGCCATAATAAAACTAAGAAGCAAATGTTAGGGAAATGAAATCTTGTGTCTGGCTGGTAAGAGTTGTCAGTTATTTTAGACAAACCTCCATCTTTCCTTTAAAGACTTTATGTTAAGTAGCACTATCAAAACAATTTATTACACGTGCTTTGTAGGTAGTAGTTTCTCTCACTAGATGGAATCCAAATCCAAAATGAACAAACTGGTTGCCAGCTCTTTTTATAGCCAGTCCTCTTGGCAGAAGATAGAGAATGGGATCATAAAAATAGAAAATGCACTTTGTATTTTTGAAAAGAGTAAGATGGCAAAATATATTTGTTCCTAAATAAGGATTAAAAGGATTTGTTCCTAAGGATTAAAAGGATTTGTTCCTAAATAAGGATTAAAAAAAAAGCCTTGAAATGGGTTATCATGCTGAATACCAGGTTTTAACTAAAAAATGAGTGGTTGGCTCAAAAATGTATGCTGAGGGAACCAGTAAATAGAATTATGTTTGGTGATGAACTCTTCTGGGACAGTCATGGACATAGATGGTTTTCTTGTTTGGATGAGCTGCAGCTTACTATTGGACCGTCTTTAACTCAATGGCAAATGGTAACTTCACACCATATGATGACTTTTTGATGTCTGTTTTAACTTAACCTGTGGTTTCAATTTAATTTCACATTTCATCTGGTATTAACTAATATTCTGGTGAGTAAAATAGGGCTAAACAGACAACTGCCTTAACTTGTCCCCTGAGAGAAGCACATTTATCATTGTGGCAAATCTTGTTCTGATCCTATCTTACCTCTGCAGACATGGGACTTCCCCCAGTCACCTTTGCAAGTTTCACAATTTATCCTCAAAAAGTCAGAGGAAAACATCAGGGAAAATCTGCGTAGAAAGAAAGAATCCTATGCAAATGATTTGTAAAACTGCTGATACTTACGCTGCCTCTTCGTATTTCTTGCACAGCCAAGAAATCTTAAAAAAGAAGTCAGGCTTTAATAGAAGTGCTTGCCAAGCATCAAAGTAGTTTTGAATCTTGAGGACAATGGCGCTTTCTGAAAAGAAATGTTAACAAAAAGCAGTATAAAATACAAGCCTCAATAGTCAAATATCAAAATGCTTCAAAATAAAAATAGTAATAAGGCCCTGTTGCCTACTCTAAGTTCATGGGAATTTGATAAACAGTTGTTTTTAATGGTGGTAGAGAATATTAGGAAACATTTGTAGCACACTGTAGAAAAAGTATAGATCTTTGTAAAGACTCTTGGTAGCTAGCTAAAAGGAGACAGTTGTGTGTCAACCAAAGCCAAATGCCCTCCCACAGGGGAGCAGAAGAACTCTTACAGCATGTTGAAATGGAGTAATTAAACATCACAATGTTATTTCTGTCACATAGTTTTGAGGCCAAAGAAATCACAGAAGACAAACTGTCAGGCAAACTTTTCAAGGAAATTAGTTTGATGGAAAGACTTCCTATTCTTATATGCATATAATATTGGTATTGCACCAGTTCAGTGCATGAAAAAAACTTCTCTAAATGGTAATATTTAAGGTGAGTGTGACAAGCTAATGTATATTTTTATTCATGTAAGATTCCTTCTATAACTAAAATGACTCATTTATTTCAATTAATAATATGGTGATATTAAAATCTGTTCTTGCTCTGTTTTCTGGAACAAAACTGGTGAGTGATGTCCGTGAGTTTTCCTTGGACATGCGTTTTAGAGCCACCATAAAGTATAAAAATAGAGCTGCTGGTACCATCCAAAGGAATCCCGAGAAAAAGCTTGTTAGATGTGTCAAGCATGATCCGTCTCATAAGGTTCAACACATTGATGTTTCCTACTTCAGTGGTTACTTCCTCTAATTTGTCCAGGTGATTAATTGTTGATTCAACACAAATTGCTATCATGCGCACAAGACCAGGACCAGACAGAGCTGAAATACATGTGCAAAATGATCAAAAGATTGGTTAACTTTTGAACCTCCTTTATGATTAATCAATTGGCCATAAAGGTGTCAATACGATGTAAAACACGACCATGTGAGTGACTTGTTTACAGTCATTCTGAAACTCAGTGATTTATCATCTTAGGAAAGAAAAATGTAAACATTTTGAGTTCAAATGGCAATGAACCTGAATCCCAAACATGCCTTGCATCCTGCTACTTTATCTCACAAATTTAATGCTAGGTTCACACCACATTAATGGAAGATAATTTGCCTCAAGAACATTATCCAATACATGTTGAGAAGGATTGAATGTTTGTAACCGAGAAGAGAGGACGTCTGTTCTGTAAGTAGAAAGGACTGGTAGTTCTAGGAATAAGTGGAAAAATAAATAAATGAAAAAATTCAAGTCATCTTCAACCAGTACAAAGTTGCTGATATTTTTCAATAGCAAAATCAAACAGAAAGGCCAAGTTTCATGGAGGACCACAGATATATCAATAAAAAAAATACAGAAAATTTAAACCAATGGATAATCGATTTCTACTAGGTTTGGCTTTATTTTTATTTTCAGATTCTGGAATCACTGTCAGGAACTACTGCAGTCTCAGCTGGTGAGACTCGTTTCTGAGCTGTGGAACTTGCAGCACAAGTGTGGTGGTTTTGTTAGGAAGGAGATGGTTCTAACTAGTTGCTGAAAATCTTCAGCGTGTGGACAAGAGGAGTTAATGCAATTTCCTATTTGATTTCAACTTAGTGATGTTAATTAATTCTTTTTCTGTTACTACATTGACTCCTAGTATATGACAGGATTAATAAATAGATTTCCTGTGAAATGTTCTAAATTAATTTTGAAATGAAAGCTTTTTCATCTTTTTCCCCAGTTAGAACTGAAGCTAGAGCTGGGATAGGAACACCCAACAATATTTATGGGAGTGCAGTTGAGCTAATATACCTGCTGGACTTGAAATATAAAACATTTAAAAACACATCTTGTAGGTAGCATTAAATTGGATGAGATCAAAAATCTGTGAAACTATTTCAGAAGCATTTCAAGTAGCACACCAAGCAGGGTAAGTGTGAAAAAAGGTGCAATAAAATAATTCTATGGATATATAAAGAAAACTGATTTCTGTAATTTAAGTTTGCAAAGGACAAAGAGCATTTCAGAAGAGATAGTGATGCAGTGAATTAATGCACACTGATTTACCTTTGGTGAAAAAGGGTCGAATTTCTTTCCAGTGTGCTGGGTTGTTATTGAATATGATCCCATTTTCATACATGCCAATGCATTGTAATCCAAGCTTGCTCCCAAATCGAGAAACATAATGCCAGTGTTTCATTACATGGAACACACTTGAGGATCTAGGAAAGAAACAGAGGGAGAAAAAAGCCCAAACCAAAAATACTGCTTCATAGATTGTACACAGACCTTTCCTACTGTCATTCTATAGCTCTGAAGTAGACTTGCAATCTTAATTTAGTAGGACACATAATGCTTGACCTTAAATGTTGTTCCTTTCACATAATTAAGAATCTTACTGAGAAATGCCTTTGAATTGCATATAAAGCAATAATGTATTCTGTTCAGATTTAAAACTATTTTTAAGTTAAAATGCAAATGGTTTAAAAAATATTTTAATCTGAATAGTGTGTATATTCAAGCAATGACCAATGTCACATATTTCAGAAGATGAGGAGTAAGTATTTGACAATTGCTAATTTCATGATGATGTATATTAAATTACAGCTATACTTTTATAGCTATTTGGTCATTCCCAGGCACATGCAGAAAGTATAAATACATATGTACCATTTAAATATGCAGCATCACAATATGATTATGTGTGTGGGATAAATATTCCTAGACATGTTAGGGAAATCAGTGATATATACGTTTCTTTTTACAGTTGACTAGGTTTATTTACACATGCTGGCAAACAGATTGTGACCAGCATTATTGCTTTAAGATACAATTTCTTTTAAAGGGAGATAGCATTTTAGAAACAATGACATGGTAAAAACCTGATCAAATGAAATCCAAGAAAAAGAAAGAAAAACAGAATAGAGACTGAAATGAAACAATATCCTACTTTCTTTACCATGTGGCATATTCAATGGATCAAATCCCAGACTTCTTACATGGGTTTAATTTGTTTTTAGAGTGAAGCAGAGTACATATGACTTTTGCTATTGACTTGGGCAGTGCTGGGTTTTTACCCTAGTTTTGCATGACTAGAAGTAAAGTTAATCTTAAAGGCTTTTTGAGCATTCAGGGTCATCATCTGTATTTTCATGAGCATGAAAAGATGATGTTGAATTATGATAGCTGTGCTGAGGGATGGAAAAGTGCAGGTTGCTCATTTTGCTTCCCTCTACATAGGAGACCCAAAGTAATGTTTTAAGGGAGGATTTTGACATATGACCTTGTATAAGCATATCTTCCCTACAAAACTATTTAATTAAGTCTTCCAAAAGACAACATCTGCTGTAACGCAGACTGCAAGTCTTTCTCCCTGTGCATTAGTATCTCAGTATGATTAGATTTCATGGTCAAAATTCAGATGACATTGGGGAAAATAGTATGCTTCTACAAAATTCAGGTTATGTTTAGTTTTGCAGTGCATTAGTTGATATTTGCAATTCCTGTGTAGAATAAGAATGTAAATAGTTTTCTTGTCATGTTTACCTCTTTTTATTGAGGTAAAACCAGAGATGAAGCTGACTTGATTCACATGGCAAATCCTGTGACAGTCTTCTATACTATGGTGTCTTTCAAAAGCTTTTGAGTAGTGAAAGCTGAGTACAGGTTGATTGACATTGCTAATAAAAAGTTTGTGATTCTTCATCAGTTACAAGTGATAATAATTTTTAATTTTTTGGGTTTGTTTTTCTTTTTCATGGCATAGCTCATTTGCACCCAGAAGATCCAGTGAAAGCATAAAGCAACTTTTAACTACAGCTAATAAAATGACAGACTGCTGTTATGTTTAATACTGTGTATAACTCAAGTCTATGAGTAATCTTATTAATTGGGTACATTGCTTATAATCCCATAACACTGCATTTGCTTAACTAACTTGCTGAATTGGGGCTATAGTCTTCAAACATTACTCCCATTTTAAGGAGAAATTTAAGAACCCAGGGAAATTTGGCTTAATCCTGCATTGCATCACTCTAGGTTCCTGTATAATACATAATCCTAATGTTCAATGGAATAATAAAAGAGATGGTAAACATTTCTTATGGTTGAGCCACAGTGCTTAATCTTCCTTTCCACAAAGAAAATGAGAGAATTCCCATAGACTTCAACAGCAGGATCTTTAATGAAACAACAGATTAGGGAAAAGTCTGTGAACAGCAGGGCGTAAAAGGTTGATGTTGGGATAATTTTTGAAAATAAGTTCAATTTTACTTTAGGAAAAAGTTAGCAAAGAGGGTCTAAAAATACGAAAAAGCTCTTGATATTATTAAGGACAGAAAATGAGGATTTACTTGCTAATTATATATGTTTCTTCACCGCTGATCCAAACTCTCACAAATTCTCCATATGTCTTATTGTAGTAGTTGCAGGCATTACCTACTCCCATCCAAAGAAATCTCCCATGTGAAATGAGGGGACCGATTCCCATACAGTATCCTGGCCCTAAGAAATAGGGTAAGAAAAGTTTGGTCTCAGAAGTGGTCACTGACAAGAATAAACCTCCAAGCATCACCCATTTGAAAGGAGCTTTTAGACATGACAGGCAAGGCCTGCATTGGGGAAACTTGCCCCTGCATTGTACATACAACTAATGACATTCGTTACTTTGCACAATTTCAGACTGCTGCTTTGAGATTGCTTATGTTTAGTTTTATGGTTACATATTAGAAAGAAGATATGATTAGAAAAATTGCATATGGTTTCTAAATTTTTAACAAATCCTTAACTTTTGAAGAGTTTTAGCATATTGAAGGATGTTTGGAGAGGATCTTCTCTCAGAATTTCATTCAGTTGCCTCTGCATTTGTTTAGGATTATTCTTGTCAAACACCTTTGTAAGATGTATACACTGCTCTCATTCATGGAGTAATTGCATTGAATCTAATGAAATATAGGCTGAATCAGTAAGGTCTACCACAAACCCTCCACATTAAAGAAGGGGCCCTCAGAAAAGGAAAACACTTGGTGTTTTTCTGTTCTTTAGGGTCTTTGGTGCCAAACATGGAGAGAAAAATTTATTATCTACTAAAATCTGAACAATTTCCTAGATAAGGGTTTTATGTCTAGTAAAGATAATTTAGAAAACTTGAAACTTAGTGTATAAAAATAGTTTATAATGCACATGAAAATATGAACATCTAGAATTTGTAAAATTCTAGCATATACATAATAAATCAGAAAACTGAACATCATATACTTACATAGCCAAGCCAGGTTTATTATGGAAGTTCTGAGGTTAGAGTGAGCCTGATTTGTTTTATGAATTCTTTGAAAAACTGTATTATTGAAACTGACTCTCAGTAAGTTTTGCTGGCATGCAGTCATTACTCAGCATTACTTTCCCACTTACATTCAAGAAACAAAAAAGGTAATTTACCTGGTATTGATGAAGCTTCTTCATGATTCCATATTAGAAACAGAAAGCACATGAGAATGAGTACGGGCACTGTGGCCACTGTCATTGTATCTGGTACAAGGCTCGTGATGTTGTAGTGCGTTGGATTCAGAGTTTCGAGTACCATCTTTTCCAAGAGATCCTGCTTTTCTTTAGGGAGAGAGAAAGGGGAAAGAGGCAGAGTTTTTCAAAGCCTTCTATTTTCAAAGATAGATTCAGCTTCAGTTGGTACCTCTCAACCCCTTTGTGGGTCTTGTAAATGAGCAAATTAACACTTGAGGTAGCCTCACTTTATACTGAGAGTGACGACTGCCGCCTGGACTGCTTGCCAGGACGAGCTGCGTCACAAGTCAAAACAGACATGCAGCAGAGACACTCTTTTTGTTTGGACCATAACAAAGCTTTCCTGACCTTGATGTTGAAGCAGTTTTGGATACTTTGGCTTACAGATCTCTTATCTCTGATACTGACTTGGCTGGCCAATACTGAGGTTTACTCCTTGAAATTTGGAACCAAAGCACAAGAAATTAAGCTTTTAGCATGTGTGGAAGCCTTGAATGAGTTAATTCACAAGCTTTTGTCTCTGTTAGCTTTTTTTCTTCCTACATGCCTGTAGTGTCAGAGTCCTTGAATTTCAGATTGACTACAGTAGTTTTTTATGATGCAACCCCAGGTTTTTGTTTGAAACAATGTCTTATGGTGGTGGAGTTTTTGTTTGGTTGGTTGTGGGTTTTTTTTCAATTGTCAGCCTTTGTATATAATGTATTGTATTGCTGTATGGTTCTGCTAAATAATTTGAAAAATATAGTGTATGCCATGAAAAAAAAACACCAAAACCAGAAAAAAAAAACAACAAAAAATGGGATCATGGAATGTCTGGTACCATATTTTTCCTGAGGCAGTAACCAGCACTTGGCACAGGATAAAAAACCCAAAGCAAATGGACAGGCCTGTTAATGCAGGAGTAGAAGGATTCCTTCAAAATTGTTTTGCATGTTTTTGACTTAAATCATAAAATATGAGAGATGACTGTACCTGAGAAGGAAGATATTTTTCCGTCAATGATAGCTCACATAGAATCATAGAATAGTTAGGGCTGGAAAGGACCTTAAGATCATCTAGTTCCAGCCCCCTGGCCATGGGCAGGTACACCTCACACTAAACCATGACACTCAAGGCTTTGTCCAACTTGGCCTTGGACACTGCCAGGGATGGAGTGTTTCCCACTTCTTTGGGCAACCTCTTCCAGCACCTCACCACCCTCACAGTAAAGAACTTCTTCCTTATATCTGATCTGAACTTCCCCTGTTTAAGTTTAAACCCATTACCTCTTGTCCTGTCATTATAGTCTGTGACGAAGAGCCCCTCTCCATAACCACAGGCAGATTCTTGTTGAATCTGCACAGTAATTTAACAAAGCATCTTCTTACTTTTGCTCTGACAGTAATTAAGAATAGATTTGCTTTGGTCCTTGCAACAATAGCTCAAAATTGAAGGATGTGTCCACTTAATAGGAAGCTTTTCGTAAGTTTACTTTCAGCAAATGCTTTCTTGTTTATCTTGTGGTTTGGTCTCAGCTTGTAGAATAAAGTAGAGATTACTTTGTAGTAACTGTCAGTGTTATATTAAACTAAGCCAAGTATGTGATGGATGCTTTTTAAATAGTGAGAAGATTGGTAATTGTGGTCGAAGTAGAGAATCAATAGAGTACAGGAAAAACCCTGGGGAAGGGAGCAAGCAGTGGCTCAAAACTTTGCAAGTGCATGCAACAGTCCACGATTTTGGATGATTGCTACGCAAGGCTGCTGGTATTTTGATCCAAAATGACCATGACACAGTATGCCAGGTGACCATTTAGAAACGTGTGATATTCCAGTAGCTAGCAGTTACACCTCTTGTGATATGTACATGGAGACTCTCTCCTGTCTTGTCCGTTGCATTGTCCTGAGTGTTGTAGAAAATGTGTTTGTAATCACAAGCGTTTTTTAATCCTATAATGGGATTTACTAGTTTAACTGGTGTGCTGTTGTGCACTAATGAGGCTTGTCCAACAAGGAAAAACGCTGCCTGTAAATTTTCTTCAGTGCTCTTTATTACCACACCAAACATGTGCCTGTATGTATATTTAAATACCTGTATTAGTTTCAGTGCCTTTCACATGAGCTTACAGCATTATTGAAGGAAATAACTACGCTTAGGGCACTTATTTTCATATTTTTTTTCTGCTTTCTCTCCAGATCTGGATGAACTTCATCTTTGTACTTCATTGCAATAGATAGGCTTTAATGTTTATTGGCTTTTGTTCTTTGTTTCGTCTCCAAGACATTCTGGTATGTCTGTACAGTACTTTCTCTGCCTCATATTCCCTATGAAGAGAAGTATTTAGGTGGTTATGCATTTGGTATGAAATAAAAACACCTATGTGTACAAACATGAATCCGTGAATATTACATCTGTAGGTTAAGCCCTGCTTAGAGTTCAAGGTACTGGTATGTTTGCATGGTGTACTTTGCAAGCATGAGTCTCCCCCTTTTATTTACTAAAAACTGACCCTGAGTTTTGATCTTGCTCAGTTCTTAGTTACTCACAGCTAAAGCTTATCTTTGCTTTGACAGAGAATTATTTTAGTAAAGGAATAAAATATTTTTTGCTGTTATATGATATCCAATACATCAGTGCTGTTAAATTTATAATTTTTATATGCAGGATCATGTGCTCATGTAGGTAAAAGGTATCAAAAGCACTGTATTAAATCTAAGTCCTTTTTATGAGGCAAGTTCTTTGCCTCATTTCAATGAGTACGATCCAAGCACTTTCTGGGTTTGCATTTCTAATGCTTTTTTGTTTTAATTGCTAAAGCCAACCAGACCATGAAAAATTCACCTTAAAACTATTTCAACTGAACTGCTCATCTTGCTTGGACCCATTGTATTTTTTAAGACCTGTCCAATTGGTCTTGATAAAAGCTCAGCCAAGTAAGCTAACACTGAATAGATTGCAGAAGTTTAGAAATGGAGCAAACCTAGAGTGCCCATTGTTCACAAATGAAGCTTTAATTGCTCTTTCTGATTTTGTCTTGAAACCATAATTTTCCTTTCCGTGAAGCTGCTTGAGGTATATGTTTCATCAGAGGGATTTGTTTGTTCTGTTACTTATATAATAAAGGGTTGATTGAGACAGGGTGAAAAAGCTTTGAAAATCAGATTTTAAAAGAGAAAATAGACTTACACTAAGGAAGTGCTTTTGTGACAAAATACAGGTGATGTGCACAGGCTGCCTGACCTGACAAGAACTGTGGATCTTAACAGCTGGAAAATCATCTGCCAGCTGAGGGCCTTTAGATTCCTGGTCTGTACGTCTTTACTGTAAAGCTCTGTGAGAAAATTCTAGGCTTTTAGATGTTTTCTTACAAAAAGTGGTATGATGAATTATGACAGTCCACAGGAAAAAAAAAGTGCATATATGTAAAGGACAACTCCGTTTGACCCCTTTTATTCCAGTTAAAGCTTTGTACTTAATCATTGTGTCAATCATATTTTATAACTGGAGCTGAAAACTACTCATGATTTTGAGCAGGCCCTCATGAAACAGTCTGAAAATTCCTGAAGAATCATTTTTGGTTCTTTTCTCTGTAGCAGTTCCTCTGTCAGGAGAGACACAGGGAAAAAGTGTGCTACTTGTTATGAATCCCCAAATGTTAGTGACCAATACTAGCAGTGTCCGAAGAAGTGACGTAGGTTTATTTAAACAGTTTGGAAAAGTAAAATTTTAAATAGACTGATTTCACATGAACATAAATCTATTGGCTTATATAAGTGCAGGAAGTCTTTATTTTTCCAGATAAAATGTTGTAGCCTTCCTCTCTTTCTAGAACATGGTTCCACATATTGTTTGTTTTTCCTCAGTTAAGATTGATGGTTTCATGCAGAATGTAAAGGTTCAGCCTTTTACACGTAAGTATGTAAACAGCTTTTGGTGTACATTCAACAACTAGAAGGCTACTGTCTAACTAGGTAAATAGTGATTTTCTTATATTTGTTCCATGGATGCTGCCTGATGTTGCAATAGTCCAGAAGGACTTAGACAAACTGGGGGCTTTTGGGATGAAAATAAATGAATTAATATTCTCCAAAGCTGTCTCTCAAGGACACGAGGGATTTTAATGGGGATTCAAATGACAAACCCTGTTTAGTTCTCTATCAGAGTGAACTCCCATGAAATGTGTGTAGTGTAGGGAGTGAATCATTACCAACTGTTTTGCTTGGCGGATCTGCTCCCATTGTGTCACGGTGTTTGCTAATGTTGATATGGCCTCAAAGGAACACGGTATCTTTTGAGAAATAAAATAGTTGGTTTTAATTAGTTTCAGACATGTAACTGTCTTGCTGTGTTGGTAGTAGAGCAGTTAACATAGGATGAGAGCTGTCTCTGATTCTTAACTGCATGTCAGACTTGTGTAATGGAGCTTGTGCTGAAAGAGATCCACAGAGCTATTTTAACATTGCCTTTAAATTGTGGATTTTATTGCAAAGCCAGGCATTCTGTTCCCAGCTGTTGAGTAAGCAGTCATATGTGGAACTACTGTAAAATTGGTTGCATTTGTGTGGAACCTATTGTAAGAGCCATTAAGAAATAAATCTTTTTGTTACATAGTTACATTTCTTTTAAGCAATTAATTAATTTGAAGTGGATAATTATCCCCAGGTGTACAGCATATGTCACATAAACCTTGACACAGAGATTGTCTTGTTCCTTTGAAAGTCTGTGGGGTTTAAAGTCAAGAACACATCAAAAGGCTCTTTTAAACTTGGGATTGCTTACTGCTCCTTCAAACTGCGCTGTGCAGTTATTCTGTAAGCATCAGATTGCATTTTTACTTACTGACACCCTAGAAATTGCTCTCTGATACTCTGTGGCCTTTTCTAATGCTGTAATTTTTCAGGATGGAATGGGGATGTCACTGAGAGATTTGTATCACGATTTAGTGGTCATTTGATGTTGCGTTAGTCTTGTTGTGACGTTCTTTGACTATAATATTTTTTTGTTCTTATTCATTTTTCACTTGCTCTGAATCCATGCTTTAGTGAGCTGATCCTTTGGTCCTGAAGATACCTGTCTTCTTATAGATGTGTTCATTTGCAATCACAACGTGCAGAGCAGCATTTTAAAGTTGGATGTTTATACTACTCTGCTTCTGAAAGCACTCTGACTTGTTTTAGGTCTGTTTCCTACTTTTGATTCAATCCTTTGCAACTCAAAAAAAAAAAAAAGATGTTTG